CCTCACGCAGAATCGAAGGTGCCTGATGCCCATGATGATCTTCCGCTCGTACTCCTCCGGGTCGCGGTCCTTGTTCATGTTCATGATGGCGCTGAACGCCCTGCACATCGGCGATCCGATCAGGACGCATGGCTTCTCGTAGTCGATGATCTTCTCGCACAGCGCCTGCCGGTCGGGGTCCGACAGATCCCACTGCACTCCATTCTCGCCCTTCAGGCACAGGTCGAACGCGTGCCCCGGGTTGAGGCCGAACGACTCTGCCCTGCTGGTGAACTTGCCCGGCCCGAACAGCTCCGACACGCGCGCGCCGAAGAAGCCCAGATCCTTCACGAGGCCCTCGACATCCCCCAACAGGTTGGCGTCCATGGCCTCCTCCACGCCTTACGGTTCTTGGCTCTCAGCTTGCCGCTTCAAGGTCGTCCTCGAGCTCTCGTCCATCGCCTCCTGCGGTTCTGGCGTCACCTGGGTCTCGGCCTGCCTCTTCGCGCCCGAGCCTGAGCCCTTGGCGAAGATCTCGCCTCCGAGCGCAGCGTGAACCAGCGAGCTCGATACCGAGATGTCTCGATCAGGCTTAGCAGGTTGAGCTTGCCCAGCTGCCATTCCTGCTGCGGCCGGTCTAGCAGCCGAAGCGGACGCACTGCCGCTGCCTCCTCCGGTTGCCTCCTCCACGTCGACCGCCTGCTTCTCAGCCGGCCTCTTGATTCCTTGCCGTTCCTCGACCATCCTCACTCGCTTCCCCATCTCAAAGTCATCCTCCATGAGCTTCGTGATCCTCGCCCTGCAGACCCCACTGTGGCTGCGAGCCGGGAAGCCCAGGGCGTAGCTCTCGCATCCGATGCACCCCTCGGTCCTCCCGAACTTCTTGATCTCCACCTCATCGCGGATGTGTACCCGCCTCGGTCCAGGAACTCCTCCTGCACCTGTCCCCAGCCGCAGTGCCCGCGGCTCGACTGGCAGAAGCGCCTCGTCGGACGCCTTCGTGATCGGGAATCGCGCCGCCGGCGCGCCCTCCCCGCCCCTGGTCACACCTGGCACTGGCCGCCACGGTGTGCCCTGCAGCTTCTTCAGCAGCTCGACATTGTAGCGGTCGTCCCCGGCCTTCCGCTTGACAGCCCTGGCCCTGAACACTCCCGACTCCAAGCCGATGTACAGCTCCTGGCTCTTCAGCTGCACGCCCAAGTAGATGCCCGTCAACCACTTGGCGTCCAGCTTGTTATTGTGGCCCCTGCTCCTGTCCGCCGGCAGGTAGTGCACCGTCTCGGCGAACGGCGGGAGCTCCTTGCGGTACTTCTTCCCGCGGATCCTCTCGCACGCCGTGCGCCCGTCCGCTCCGACGTCGAACGGGCTGATCACCCCACCTGCGTAGTTGATGAGCCACGGCACGATCGCATGGTCGTGGCCGATCTTGATCCCATACTGGCGCTCCACCGCCAGCTTCAGGGTCCGCACGACGCCACTCACGGACTGCACCGCCCGCTCGATCGCGCCGTTGGCCCGGTGCTCCTCCACCGGGCTCTCCTCCTTCACGATCTTGAAGGTCTCACCCAGCGCCTCGATGAACTTGTTCTTCAGGTCCAGGATCGAGGCCTCCTGGTCGCTCTTGAAGATGAAGTGCGTCACCCCCGTATACTCAATGGCCTCCGCCACCCACTTGATGATCCAGGCATCTTTCGTGCCCTTACTCGTCGCGGCGATCGATGCCGTCCATCGCCCCTTGTGCTCACGCATCACCAGCGTGGGTTCTGCTCGCTCGTCGTCTCCACCGAAGAACGTGTAGTCAATGGAGATCGTGTTGACTAGATGCTCTCGCTCAGCGCCCAGTCGTCGGTGGTCGGCATTGCGGCCGCGTCCTCCCACGCAATCTCCGCACCATGCCCTAAACTGCACGTGCCCCGCCGCCTCGTGCGCCTCCCGCTCGACCAACGTCGGTTCGAACGGCCGTGGCGCCACCGTGACCGGTGGGTCGCCCATGTCGTCGTCCTCCTCGTCCTCCAGCGTGGGCTCCACGGGTTCCGCCGCCGCCGACGCTGCCGCTGAGCTTCCGCCTTCTCGTCGAGGAGGGCCCTCGGCGTTCGGCCCCACGGCTGAGCCCGCCGCCTGTCCCCCGACATCGCGCCGATGTCTGGGGCGTTCCTCTCCTGGCCACTGACCCTCTTCAGCTTGAGGGTGTAGACTCCGCGTCGGAGGTGGATCGGCAGCCTCCTGCCGGTCGCGAGGTGCTTCCGGTAGCACTCCTTCGGCCCGAAGTAGACCTCGCGGCCCTTCGCCACCAGCTTCGACACCGCCAGCAGCATGCGGTGCACTCCGGTTGATGTGCACCTGAGTCGCCTTGCGCTGCCGTCCTCCGTCATGACCTCGATGACCTTCTCGCCCTCGCCCCGCGCCAACTGTCCGTTGGCTGCTCGGTAACTCGCGCCCATCTCGCTGGAGATGGTCGGCCTCGCCCGCACGTCCGTGAACCAGGTGTTTGGGACAACGCTCTCCGCCGCCCCGGAATCCACTGCCGCATAGAAGTGCTCTTCCGTCGCGTCGTCTACCGCATTCAGCTCCAGGGTGCACAGGTCCAGCCCGCCGAGGTTGCCAGGCTGCTCGGTCTCCGGCTCCTGCTTGTCGTTCGCCCCCAGGCTGCTGGCACCGCGTCGTCCTGTTTGCTGCCCGCGATTCGTGGGGCAGTCCTGCCGCTTGTGCCCCCAGCCCCAGCACAGCGAGCAGTATCCTTGGAATCCCTACTGTTGTTGCTGTTGCTGGCCTTGCTGTCCACCTGGCCGCTGCCGAGGCGGGTAGGGCGAAGACGGCTTGTCCTTGGTATTCTCCTTGCCCTTGCTCTTGCCCTTGCCGCCCTTGCTGTCGCCCTTGCCCTTGCCCTTTGGGTTCTGGGTGCCCTTGTGTGCACCTCCGCCTGGCAGCCAGCAGTCGATCTCCCTGTGGCCTTTCTTGCCGCAGTTGTTGCAGGTGATGTCCTTCTGGTCGAGGCTGCCGACGTCCATGGGGGTCGCAGCGTCGTTCGCCTTCGACTCCAAGTACCTCTGGATCTCCTCGCGCACACTCACGTACGTCTTGAGCTTGTTCGCGTTGAGCACCTGGTGGTCCTTGAGCACGCCCTTTGTCATGCTCACGAGCACCTGCGCCTTGATGTCCTCCTGCATCACATGGCCGGACCGCCTCTCGTAGACGCGGACCCGCTCCCCCCACTTGGCGATGTGGCTGTTCAGCTGTGGGGCGTCGACCGCTCCCGGTTGAATTAGCGAGCCCAGGATGTTCCGCTTCCTGCCAGCTCCCTGTGGATCGAACCTCCTCGACACCACACGCCAAGCCTCGAACCCGTCGTTGTCCTTCGTCGCCTGCACTAGATCCAGAGCCTCGCCATCGCAGAGCTGGGCCAACACCGTGTACAGCTGCCTGCCGATGGTCTTGATGTCCGTGTCCTCGTGCTCCAAGGTGAAGATCTCCCCAATCTCGTTCAAGTTTTCCTTCGTGAGCGGCTCTTCCTGATCCTGGACGTAGTTCAGGGTTTCCTTGATGCCCGTCGTCACGCTCTCCAGGAAATTGGTCAACTTGAAAGCCCAGCCGCTCCACATCTTCATGTCGCTGTTGAAAACCGTCGGCTTGCCAATACCCTTGACATCCACCAACTGCACCTTCTTTTTTGTCGTCTCTCGCTCCAAGAGGATCGTTTGCTGCAGCTTGGTCATCGCCTCGAGGTCCTGCATCCGCTGGGCCTGAACAGCGTTCATCAGGTCCCTCTGCCTCGTCAACTCTGCAGTGAGTTCGCGCACCTGCGCTGTCAACTGCTGCAACTGCTCCTCTGGGGTGCCCATTATCTCGACGGTGTGATACACAGTCGAAGCCTTTTCACGCAGTTCTTTGGCACATACACGTTGAAGTAGTTGCCCCACGTGGCCCCACTAGCGCTGTAGCCGTCTGATTCTCCACAACTGTTCGCAGACTCTCCACCAACGCCCCTGCGCAGACCAGTCACGCCTGCTGCGCCGCACCACACGCCAATCAGCTTTCTCAGAAAGCTCGTCGTCGCTATCAGGGCGCCCCGCGCCCGAGGATTTGGAGAGGTTGCCACCGGATCGTAATGAACCAGCTCCGCTACCATGACTAGATGGTTTTGAACCAACACGACTATGGAGCGAACCCGCCCCTCACAGTTCCTCACAGTTCCTTACCAAGGGTTATGAAGAATGCACTGCTACATGGCGAGGTCTAACTTGAGTATGGGTCGAACATCACTCCGCTGGACCCCAGTCTAGGTAAAACGTCACTCCGCTGGACACCCCAGCAGTCCTCCAAAGTGGCGACAGTTTCGCAGATCGCAGCCCCCCCAGGGATGGCCGGGTAGGACGCAAGCTGACACGCAGGAAGGAGCGAAGTGAGAGACAGGAGAGAAAGGGAGAAGGGGCGGGAGGAAGAAGGTGTGCGGTCGCAGTGCTCTATTCAAAACGAGAACCCAACGCAGGAGGGCTGGGAAGTATTAAAAATCCTGCAAGACAGCAACCATTCGGAAAACTACGCCACCGAGCAAATTGAGAGATCTGGCGAGTTAGAAATCGCACACAGGCCCCACCCCCACCTGGGACAAATGGCGGGGTCCGATCGAATTGGCCCGCCTGGAACGGTGAACGACAGCGGAAGCGTTCCACCACTCACACGCCCGTTGACGAATGAATTGGCTTGAATACACTGACTGGGCCAACCCTTGCTAAACGGGTGTGGTAGGAGGGGAAGGATCAGGAGGGGAGGAGGGGCCATTGGGAGGACGGGATGAAGGAGAAGAGGCAGGGGGGGAGTCGGATTGAGCGGATTTGGACCCTGGTCGACGGATTGACCTGAAGCAGACTGGACAGAGCAAAAAGGTCAGGGCAAACATCAACAGAAGATCCGGCGCGAGCTTCCCGCCCGGGGCAGGCCCGTCCGGCTGGCTCCCGTGCCCGCCCCCCGCCCTCCCCATCGGCCCCTCCTCCGGGCCACGGCCCGCCGGCCGCGCCGCAGGCCTTGAGCTGCTTCATGGGCCCGCACTCGTAGAACTCCTTCTGGGGCTACAGACCCCCCAGCCATCCGAGGTCCGGACGAAACCGAAAAAAGGATCAGCTTCGCTGATTTTCGGCCTCCCAGAGCTGCTCTTCGGTCCCTAGGACCACAGAGAGCTGGGCATGGGCGCCGACGTACCAATATTGCGCTGTGGCTTACGCAGGCCGCCAACGCGCGCAAAAAGGACAGGGCGCCTTCCGCGTGCGGCTTACGCGCGAATATCATGTTGTTTCGTTGCACATCTGGCGGCGCGACACGAGGGAAAGGGCGAGGTGGACTGTCTCCAACGAAAGCGGGAGACGCAGGGGACTTTTGGAAGGCGTCGGAAGCTTCCCCAAATGGTCTTATGATGCGGGGGGGATTCTAAAACCCCTACCCCAGGCTTCTTAGAAGGCCACTCGCCGCATCACCCATCTCTGTGCTGTCGACTCATCAGGTGAGGCAGAAACCAAGACCTGAGACGACGTAATTGTTCGATCCTGGCATCATTCCAAAAGCCAATTCCTGGCATTATTCCAAAAGCCAGATCTCTGGAGGAAAGTGCTGATCACAGAGACCGCCAACAAAATCTTTGACGATCAACAACTCCCAGAGAGGGGATCGAGAAGCCCAGGGGCCACATATTCAACACATCACATCGTCGGAGGTCTGGAACTGGAGGTTGGAGTTGGAAAAAAGGAGAAGGGGGAGAGGAGCGATCGGGTGGGGTACCCACAGGATAGCTCGCCTACGACAAGGATGAAGGGGTTGAGATAAGGGTCGCGCATAAGTTGCTCTATGGTCCTTGATACCATCTTGGATCATGGCCTCCATGGCGGGGCACCAGCGGACTGTGCTACAGAGCTGATCAGCCAACATCGGGATGATGACAGAGGGAGGGGTGCCCGCCGGCAACCTCTGACCCGTCACGTTCATGTACACATCGCACCTGAGCGGCTGCATCTTGGGCTCAACGTCCTTCAGCGCCGCCAGCAGCTTCTCCCTGGCAGGCATCATCAGCTTCGTGTGGAAGGCGCCCGAGGTCTTGAGGGCCCTTGCCTGTATGATCCCTTCCGTCTGGCCACACACCTCCACGAGCCTCTCGACCGAAGTTTTGCTGCCTGCGCAGGCGAAGCCATTGGGGAACAGGTGGTTGGCCACCTGGCACACCTCGCCGTCCACGCCGCACTCCTTGCAAATCTCCTCCACCTTCGATTCGACCACTTAGGTCTTGGGCCAACTGGGCCCAGCGAGGATACGACCGGCAGAGCACAACACCGCAGGCCACACAAACAGAAACAGTCGGCATGATACCGAAAAGGCTGGCCATGAGAGAATGGGAGGGTCAAGGACAGGAGACAAACGCCCCCACTGGGGCGCTGCCAAAGAGGAACCTCGATTTCCAACTTCGCGAACAAAAATCAGGACGCCGTACAAAAGCTCACGGCTGCGTCAGCTCCGAGAGGGCACGCTCAGAGGGGACCCTAGTAGAGGCGCCCTGGGCTCGAAGCCCCCCCACTCATCCCACCCCTCCCCGTTGTTCACTTCCCATTCCTCCCTGGTCCCTGGAAGCTACCCCCGCACCTGGACCTCCTTCGGCCGAGCCCCCTTCGGTGGCACCCCATGGGGAACTCCCATACTGTCTTGCTGGCTCTTCCGAATCGACGCTATCCGACGCGAGGCAACGGCAATCGACAATAATCGACGCTAAATCAACGCTGATCGACACTGAATCGACGCTGGTCGACGCTAAATCGGCGCTTATCGATTACCGGACGCTTATCGACGCCAGCGTTCTCTCTGAGGACGGAACTACGAGGGTACACAGGGCTCCTATGATTTGCGATCGCAGCTCCCCCCATTCCCCATCTTTTACCCCACCGGAAGTTCCCCCCCCTGGACCTATCCCAAGCCCGAACACCCCTTACTCCGATACCGTCTGGCACCGTGGAAGCTTCGCCGCCCACCTTTGAGGTGCCCTCGTTCCGAACCCCGCCCCCTGCGCCCCGTTTGGCGCCCCGCGTAAGCTACTTGGTTCCCCTCTCCCTGGATCCCCCCTCCCTTCCCCCCTTCTCATGTGTAGCCCCCGAAACTACCCCCCCCCACCTGTGGACCTCCCGCGCCCAAGCCCTCTGCCTCTCCCCCTTGGTCACCACCTCTTTGCGCGGTTGGGGCCCTGAGCTCCGTAAATACCTAGATCAAGTATGTTTCTGCCTGTCGCAGACGAGCAAAATTTTAGGCAGCGAGGACCAAAAAAAAGGTTCAAGCAATCTATGTGGTGCTACTGATGTGGAGCAACGTATGTGGTGCAACAAATTCCTGTTCGCAGTGAGTTGTCGACTACAAGGCTCGCGCAATCATTCCACCCACCCACCCGCAACTTGGCTTGCAAAACCATGCGGCGGCGCCTGCGATGAGTGTTTGGCGTTGGCTGGTGCATTCTTGCGGCCGCGCTAGCTCGCGCATGCTCGCGCGCGCAGCGGCAGGCTAAATTGGCGCGACCGACGCGGCCGCGGTGGCACTGATATCTCGGCGCTCTCCAGCGGACACTTCACTGCGAGTCGGCGACCTGGGCAGGCGCGGTATCATGGCAACGTCGACAACGGTAGACGCGATGATGATATCAGCGATGCTGGTGACGATGATGACAGCGATGACGGCACGGCCACTGACGGCGCCGATGCCGATCAAGCCGACGACGATGACGGCGTCCTCGCGTCGATGATGAAGATTTTGGAAGGAACTCAACATGCGCGCGCGGCCGACGCGCGAGAGTAGCCAGAAGCAGAACAACAACAAAAACGCTGCGATATTCACTTCGAATTCTTCGCAGGCGCTCAGGCAGGGTCCGAGCGTCACTGGTGCGCACTGCGCACTCGACTCGTCACATGCCAGAGAGGGCAAGGGGAAGAAAGCAATACTCTGCTCTGCTCGTCACGTTGCAATGCTACGGAGCGGAAGCAATACTATTCCACTGTACTCGTGACGTGGCAAGAAAATCCACCGAACACATCATACTCTGGTTACCTCGACGTGTTGCAAAGCAGAGCGTCAATCGGTATCAACCGTATGCACTAGGCAACCGTGCCAACCTGCAATAGGCGAGCCAACCAACACGCGAGGCATTGGCCAGTGCCTGGGAAAGGGTAAACAGAACATCATATGATATTTCACTGTTCACACGGCTGCGCAAGGGATACATACAAAACATAGGCACAGTAACAATTAAGCAAGAGAGGGAGACGACAGTCCATTCTACTGTACTCATCAGGTGACAACGAAGGGAGGTCGAGGTTATACTTTCCCACTCGAGTACACTCAACCCGCGGCGGGAACGCATTGGAGCACAACACATAACATCAAAACCCAACCGTCGCATGCAACCAGCGCACAGGAAGCAGTTAGCACTCTGCGTGATCAGCCGCTCGAGCTAGCGACCTCGGAAGACATCCCACAGATGTCACGGCCATGGCGCAAAGGGGGGGTAAAGCCCCCTCCTCTTTGAAAGGGGAGGCCGGGCTTACCTTAGACGTCAAAATGGAGGAGGGGTAGCTTCGGACCCCCCTCCTTTGGCAGGGGAGGAAGGCTGCGTCCGAAGACCCCCCTGGAAAGGGGAGCCCGGGCCAACCTTTCGCTTCAAAAGGGGGGCGGGGAGGGAGCTTCGGAAGCCCATTCCTTTTTGAAAGGGAGAGAGGGGGGCTTCCGAAACCCGCCTGGCCCCCCTTTGGAATCAAAAGCCCAGGCTTACCCCCAGCGTCAAAAGGAAGGTGGTGGGGGTAGCTTCGGCCCGCCTCTGTTGACAAGGGGGTCACCAGCTTCAAAAGGGGGTGAAAGGGAATGGTTTTGGAAGTTCCCCCCCGTTGAAAGTGCGGAGGTGACTAGCTTGACCCTGGGCTCCCCCGTTTAGTCTTCCCACCCCACGCGCGCGCTCTTTCATAGTTCCTGGCCCTATCTTTGCGCGGGATTCCTCGACGGACGGATAGACCCAAGGCCCCAAACCAAACCAAATTATCCGCCGTGACTCCGCGACACCCATCTGTCAGTGCCCTCCCCCAGTTCCACTCAAAGTCTATCCGATGACTCGTCCTGGGCACCACGCTGACCTGGTTCCCGAACCGCGTCCAGCCGTAGCGACAAACACCACCAAGAGCCTCCTCGCCCAACGCGGGAAGGTTTGCGCCGTCCACCTTCGCCAAAGGCAACCCCGCGATCGACGCCATCATCTGTGGCGACGCCTCTGCTGCCTCCTGCATCGCCTCGGGGCTCGCCAAAAAAAACCCTGGAACACAACCCATGAGGGGCGCATCCACCTCCACCCAGCTCAGCGGCCGACCGAACACGGCCACCACCCTGACAAGTTTTCCAAGCCGCGCCCAGCCGTGGCGATGAAAACCTCCGAGAAGGGGCCAGCTTAGGAGCCCCCTCGCGCCTCCCCCGCCCCCTCTCCGTCCGTCCCTATCATGCTTCCCGCACCCCATCCGTCCCCACCGCTTTCCCGCAACATTCGCGCCTCCTCTATTTGCGCCTCCTCTCCTCCTTCACTCTGCTCGCGTCCCCTAACCCTGTTCGGCCCCCTACCCGTCCAACTCCTCATCGTCTTCCACTGCTCGTCTTCTCCATCCGTTTCCGTCACTTCTTCGTGTTCGCGGACTGTGCACGAGCGCGTCTCTCGGAGGGGCACATGTTGGACGGCGGGTGTCGTCGATGAGCCAGCATGCCTACGTTGGCCATCTGGTCGGGGCCCGTTCGTCCATGCGCCTCTTGCCTGCCTGGCGGGAGCGGGTTTCCCCCCCCCTCCTGTCCGCAGCGGGCTGCGCGCCGTCGGCGAATTTCGTGGCCGCCGCGTCGGGCCCCTGCTTCAGCCGACGCCCCACCGAGCCAAGCAGCTTCGGGTGATACGCGCGCGCGCCCAATTTTGTAACCAGGCATGGGGGGATGCGATTGCCAAGCCGAACGCGTCCGTCCGGCCACTGAGTCGCACTCCGGCAGCTGCGTCATCGGTGCGGGTTCGGCGATTCGCGGTCTACGCGCGTGGAGGGCCCCGTGCCACTGTGATCCTCGGCACAGGAGTGGGTGGTGCATCCAGGACGCGAGGGGGGATCAGGGGCAGAGAGGTAACTGTGTTCTCTGTCTATCTCTCTTTCTCTCTCTCTCTCTCTCTTTCTCTCTGTTTCTCTCCTACTCCCTCTATCTCCCTCATTCTATACATTTCTCTCTCTCTCTCTCTCTCACTCACTCTCTCTCTCTCTCTCTCTTTCTCTCTTTATTTCTTTCTTTATCTCTCTCTCTCTCTCTCTCTCTCTTCTCTCTCTCTCTAGTGTCAACTCGAGTGCCTGGCACTCAGGGCGAGCCCCGACGCGAAGCCTCTCGCTTTTCATTCCCCGCCGAGACAAGACCCGCGCCCGTCCAGCGCAGGATTAATTCGCGCCCCCTCGATCCTTACACGTTCACGGCCGCGCCACCATGGCAATGCAGCGAAGGCCACTCACGCAGCGACGCGTTTCACCAACGAGCACTGCCTGGGCAACCTGCGCTCTCTAAACGACGTTTGCGTTTCACGGAATACCGCCACGACAGCCGCATCCTCCGCGTGCCCATCCTAGACGGCCAGATCCCTTCCGCACCTCCTGCTCAAGAACCTTGTGCTTTTCGAGCGGAGCTCCGTGCAGAGATCCGCAGTCCGCTCCGCGGCACGACCTGCATCTAATTCGCGCCGTTCTTCGCGGCCACCGCAGGAACTTTCAAGACCTACGCGATGTACTCAACGCCCGTGAACAAGGCCGCCGCGCTGCTCCGGCGGCCAGCCAAGCTCCCGACCCCAACTACTTCCACGTCGCCCTGGGCATCGTCGGCGTGGTCTTCGGTTTCATGGCGAGCCTCCCTACCCCGCGTCTTCGGCGCGGGCCTCGCTCCTGACCGCGTTCTAGGCCGGCGCGCCGTTGCGACGGCCAGCCGGGCTCTCCGCACCTACCCCCTCAGCATCGCCCTCGGCACCGTCGGCGCGATCTTTGCCACCATCGGCGCAGCCCTTACCCGCGACGGCGCAAACCCCAGGGGCGGCGGCGACATCCGCGGCCCCATAGGCGCGACGGGACTTGCCCCCCCAAACGGGCCGCCAAGGTCACGGCGGGACTGGCCCCCCCTCATCGGGCCACCAAGCCCGTCATCTGCGTCATCTTAGGGCTGCCCCCCCTGCCCTGTTCCTTCGCCGTGCCCCCGCCCAGGGCACATACGCGTCGAGTGGTATTGCAGATGGCGCACCGATCTTTGTCGCGCGACCAGCTGCAGCGGCCGCCGGCGACCGCGCCGAGACACTGACGTCCGCCATGACGCCCGCGCCGTCGCAAGCACCGACGCCTCCTCCCACGGCTGCACCGACGCTAGCACCGACGCCATCACTGACGCCATCACTGACAGCGCCAGCACCGACGCCTGCGTCCGCGCAGGCACCGACGCCAGCGCCCACGTCAGCACCGACGCCAGCAGCGACGCTAGCACCGATGACAACGCCGAGGCTGGCACTGACGGCGCCAACACCGACGCCCGCGCCTACGCCGGCGCCTACGCCAGCAACGACGCCAGCACCGAAGCCAGCAGCGACGCCAGCACTGACGGCGCCAGCACTGACGCTTGCGCCTACGCCAGCACCTACGCCGGCGCGAACGCCAGCACTGTCGCCAAGACCGACGCCAGCAACGACGCCAGCACTGACGGCATTAGCGCCGACGCCTGCGCCCTCGCCGGAACCAGCGCCAGCGCCTACGCCAGTACCGACGTCAGCACTCGCTAACGGCGCACGCACCGATGTCCGCGCCCACGACAGTACCAACGCCGGCGCCTACGACAGCACCGACGCCAGCTCCGACGCCAGCATCGACGGCAGCTTTCAGCGACAGCACCGACGCCTGCGCCTCCGACGGCGCCAACCCCAGCGAAGACACCAGCCAGGGCGCCAGCAGCGACGCCTGCATCGCCCAAGCCGCTGATCGCTGCGGCCATGTACACGGCCCTCCCATCGGTCGTTCCGTCCCCCCTCGTGGCGACAGCTTCCCGCCAACGACGGCCGCCGCCGACCGACTCCACCAGGCGACCCAGAACGGCGCCGCGGGAGCCGAGGACGCGACACCAGGCACGGTCGACATCAATCCCTCGTCTGAGAGCCCCTCCTGTGGCCAGAGAGACCCCGCCATACTGCCCACGCAGGCGAACATCGAGGCAGCGCTGCGCGCCCCCCCACGCCCCCCCCCTTCACCCAGCCCCTCCGGGGCGTCGGTTGCGCGGACAGGACGCGGAGGAAAGAGGAAGCAACACTGATCGCGATGGTCGACGACGGCGACGACGTCAGCAGCGACCGGGCGCCCGGGGGGCTACGCCGGCGGCCCCGCTGCGCGAGGGCGCCCATCCTTGCGCCCCCGCGCGCGCCAGCGCGGACTCCGATAATCCAAACGGCGCCGAACAGTACAACCAGGCCCACAACCCACGGCGGCATATGGCGCGCCACCTCGGCCAACGCTCCGCCACCGTTGGCCGCGTCCGACCTGCCATCCGTTGCTCGTCCATTTGGGCGCCGCCAAGGGTCCAAGCAGACACAGAGGCCACCGTTCAAGGCCAGGCGCAACACCCCATCAACGGCCCAAGCGGCGTCGCCCGAAGCGAATTAGCTGGCGACCCAGGACACTGGACCGTTACGCCCTACTCTGGCGACGCCGCCCACTTGCCCAGCACCAGCCTGGCCGCCCACCCCCCAGCGCCACGCTGCGCCCAGAGGCACCGCCCCTCGGCGCGCGCAGCTCTTCGGCAGCGCCAGCCCACCCAAATCCCCCCGCTCTCGCCCAGCCACGCATAGCTTATCAGAGGAGGCACAGGCATGATAAGGGCGAGGTACGAGGCGGAGACGACTGCGACCACCACGATGACGACGCCAGCACCAGTGCCCCACCGTCATCTGGCGCCCCAGTCAATCCTCCTGCTGGACCCCCCGCGGCGACCGCCCAAGATCCGCAGACCGGCCCCGTGGGACTACCTCGCCCTCCCACGACGATGCCCGCGCCGCCCCCCAGCGAGGCGGCACGAGCGGTCCCACGGCGGCTCATGCGGCGATGGACGCCCGCGCGCGGCGCCACCCTACCGCAGCGCTCGGCGGCCACGCAGCTGGCGCACTGACACCAGTCGCGCGACCCACCGCTGCGGCCGCAACAGGCGACGCCAAAACAATCCGACGCCACATTCCGTCCACGCAGCGCGCGCACGCCCCGACCCCACTGCGCTCCGACTACACAGTCTGGCCCCACGGCAGTCCGACTCCAGTCCGCCCCCAAGGCCCCAGGCCGACTGCCCAGTCGTCGGCGTCGGCGTCGTCGGCGACGTCGCCGCAGCAAAAACGAACCGACGAAGCAGCCAGACCAGACCTTCGCTTCTACAAGGCACTCCGCCATCGACCTGGGCTGGCAACCTCGAAGCCAGCGGAAAACGCGCGGGCGCCCCCACCTCCAGGCGCTATATGCACCGAGCGCGACCCCGAGCAATGAGGCGTCGAAAATGAGGCCCCCACGGCGAGCAACTCGAGCGCGAAAGATACCCGCACCCCTACCCAGGCGGGGTGGCAAGGGGCGGGGGGGGCGACACGCCACAGCCGACGGCGGTTGCACATGTGCAAATGCGAAGGCCAATGGAACATCACAGGGCGCTGTCTTCTCCTTGCATCCGCTGGCAGCGAAGGCGCGCGCGCCCCAGTCGGCAGAGCGGCCGACCGCGCATTGATCGCCGTCGGGCTAGAGTAGCTCTTTCGGAGGTGCGCCCACGAAGGCGCACAATCAAGCGTTCGGGGCCCGACGCGCAAAATGCGCCCTGGGTGTCATGGGCGGGCGCCGCTGCAATCCTACGCTCGCCCCAAACGCCTGGGGCCCCGAACGCCAGGCTCGGTCGCCAGGGGCTGCCCCCCCGAAAACCAGCCCGGCGCCACCCCAGCTAGGTCTGGGCACGAGTCGGGGGGCAATCGCCGACGCGCGTTGACGGTGCCCCCAGACCCGCGCCCGCACCTAGTCGAGGCGGCGCTTGGTCGAAACCGATCTCGGGCGCACGCGCGGCCCCCCAGAGCACAAGCGGCGCCCAAGAGCGCTCCCGAACGCGGCCGAAGCGGCCCTCGGGGGAGCGCGAGATTGCGACGACGCTCCTGCGGGCAAGCCCAAACGCAGCGCAGCGGTGGTGCCTGCCCCCAAATGGGAAAGGCACAACCACTCCAATGCTGTTCCAAACC